AAAATTTAGATTGAATAATTATCGATAACTTATCATACCTTTATAAGTGAGACCGAGGTAGTGAAATATAGACGACTTGTAGTTACATATGGTAATATATTCCAAATAGAATATCAATTCTTTTAGGTAATTAGAACTCTTCATTTCTTGTACAATCTTACCAGGTTACGAGTTCTGTTGTATTAGTTTTAATTTGTTTATTACTTATTCCATGTGTATAAGATATATGTTACAGTTGTTAGAATTACTTTAGTACTATTTCAATTATTATATTAAAAGCTTGACGTTATACATATTGATAGTTATTTGTTACTTTGTACATTGTTTTTATTTGAGCATAAATTATTGCATATGTAATTATGTATGTAGAGGAAGTAGTAATGAAGGAATGTTATGTATATGTAAATACATAACAATGATTAAAATATTCTAAACACCCATGGTTGAGACAGAAAAATGAGAGAGATAGGAAGAGAAAGTTGTTTATGTGGACCCCCACCTACTTTAGGTCAAATTGTCTCACGTGATGGGTTTGTGGTAATCTTAAGACTTCAGACTATTTATTTGTAGTAGAAAAGTTAATTAATTAATAATTAATAAATAAATAGTATAAGAACTTGAAAACTAAAGGTCAATAATCAATTACGACAGGGTGAAATTCGGATGGGTAAAAATCAAATTGAGTTAAAGTCGGGTCATTATCAGTTTGGGTCAAAACAGAACAGATATGATCGGTTATTTGTCGGGTCAATTTCGGATCGGGTTCAGCTCGGGTCGGGTCAACTAAGTTCCGTTTGTGTTCAGGTTCGGTTAAATCGGATTCAGGTTTAGTTCAAGTCGCATCACATTTGTGCCGAGTTAACTTCAAATCGGGTCAACTAAGTTCCGTTTGAGTTCAGGTTCGGTTAAATCGGATTCCGGTTGAGTTCAAGTCGCATCAAATTTGTGCCAAGTTAACTTCAGATCTGGTCAAGTTCATTTTCCGGTTGAGTTCAGTTTGGTTACATATCGGGTTTGGTTTATGAATTTCTTGGATCATTAAATCGGATCGGTTACAGTTCAAAACAATTTATTTATCCCGGGTCGGTACGGGTTGTGACACCGCTAGGCATAGACATTATAGCTCCCTTTTAAACCATGAACATATTTAATAAACTGTGCATGAAAAAAGGGAAAATATAATAGAAGTTATTCACAATTTATTGGTAAGATTCCTATTATTTATGTTTTATTTATTTATTTATTTATTTTTTTTAAGGTTGTATCTAAACCAACACTGTACCTTGTAAAGGAAGAAATTTTATAGAACAAACACAGCCAACTTAATGGTTACCAAATTAGGATTGAGATCATGCTATCAAGAATTGAGAACAAAAAATACAATCACCAAATAGGATTAGTTTTGAATTATAAAACATAAAACATATATTAATAATATAATAATTCGTCCGAACTTAATGGTTAGCAAATTAGCATTGTGATCAAAATGGAAAGGGTGTATTATGATTTAACTAAAATTGAAATGTTATGTTAATAATTGTCCATTGGGACTTAGATATGTAACTGTAAAAGGTTATCCTCAAAAGTAAAATACGGATATTCGAAAAACAATATATTCACCTGCTCCGAATAGAAACACCTATCGTTCCGTATTACTATATGTGTTTCGTATATTTATGTATGTAATTATGTATATGTAAAACAAGATATTTCCGTATGACAAAGTTCTCATTTTATAAAGTATTCCGTATTGAGTTTTGTTATATGTTATTTGATTGACTATTTATGAATATAATTTTTTTACAATAGAACATCTAACTATCTAAGTATGGTTAGTATTAGTGTCTTTTTGAGTCTACAAAGATTGTGAAACTTTCAATTAAAACATTTAAAGTTCCTCAACTAGTAAAAATCAATAGCCAACTACCCACCACCAACTTATTAAATTCCCTAAATTAGAAGTGAGATGTCTGAACATCACTTACACAATGTTCCACGTACAGGTAGGTAAAAAAAAAAAAAAAAATTCCCATTGAAGTCAACCTCTCACAGTAGCCGCTTCAAGAAGCTGGTACGTCAGTCAAACGGCCGGTTGAAGGTGCCGGACTTGAAGGATATTGACCCACTCATCCCGACCTGCTTGTTCGGACTGGTAAGTGGATCAAACCCGACAACGCCTGATTTCGACTACATGCTTGCACTTCAAGTAAGACGTCTTCAGGAGAACCCGAAGACTACGAAAAATCCAATGAAGAAGTTGTTCAGATGGCCTGGTGTTTCCAAAAAAGTGCTACTGACAAGGGAACCTAACTTTATCTTCCCAATTCTGACACCTTCCGTATTCAGCAACTTGGGACTGCGTGAGGCGCCGACGACACCACCACATTCTCGCTGCGGGTCTGGTCGAGCATCTAGGGTTCAGCCTGTACCAACTTTAGGCCAGATTATGACGGAAAGGAAGGCATCGTTCAACAAGGTCAACGACAAAGTGGGTCTGGGCAACGGTTCTGCGGAGGAGGTCAACCCACGTGCTGCTGGAAAGATTTGGAAGGTTGGGATTTTTTTTAAGTGCTTTGTGTTTCCATAAAAATCATCAACATTTTGGCACTCATTTTAGTTCTAAAAGAAGATTAAAATTAAAAGTATTTATGGTATGATTGTTTTATAATGTTTGAAAAGATTAAGATCAAATGTTATAGTAGTAATACTGTTTAGTAAATTTTTTGTCGTGCACAAAATGCTTAAGACGTTATTAAGTGTTAAGAATGTTATGTTTGTAATTTAGCTCGGTCCTCTGGTGTTCCGAAGCCTCGTTTGGGTGGATATTGTTATGAACTTATGATTCAAGTATAGTATGTGGACTAAAACCCGTATTTAAGTACCGGTTTGCTTAGCTTAAATGTTATGATGCGAGTGTGAAGAATGTCTGTAATGTACTTGAACTTAGCTTAAATGTTATGTTTTTAATATAATATTATGTTACACTTTGAGTGTGCTTGATTACGGTTCAGTAAACTATGAAAATTTTATCTTCTTTAGATTTAATTTGTAAATCATGATGTTTCTGACTGTTTCATATGCTCTCTAGTCAATTTTTATGTGTCATTATTTTTAATTAAGAATACAGAGAGTATTAGGAGTTGAATTGACATTAATTAAGATATCTTTGTTTGAAGCGTTTGCCGTAAATATAACTTAAATATATTATGCTGTAAACGTGTGCTAATATTGACAACAAAAACATAATCTGAAATCCCTTCAAAGTTGTGTTTGGTAATTATCGGGAAAAAAAAGTAAATATTATCTGAAATCCCTTCAAATTAATTTTTTAAGTGAGGATTTTTTAACTGAAATTAGTTTTGGATTAAGTGAGAATTTTTAAAAGCCGACTTAAAAAAAATAATTATAAGTTGACAGTATAATTCAGCGGGTCGAAGTATGGGGCAGATTTTACGGCCACGAGTCGTCATGGCCCAAATCCATAACAACAGTACAAACTTGGGAGAGTATGGTAACTAAGTTCTGTTGAGTCCAACATAAAACCATACGTTCAAAGCCCAAATCTCAACCAAAATTACACAAGGCCGACCCACTAACATAGGTGACACGGTATGGAGTTTAACTTATAATGTGGTAATAATTAAATGAATTTTTGGTCCAAAATATATAATAAACTTTAATATTGTGTACAGTAGACGAAACCAAAGAAATTTTTTTTTATTATAAACAAATTCATTACTATTTGTATAAATGTTCGTGCAACGCATGGTATATGAATTTTAGAGCATGTGAATTGTTTGTATTTGTAGAGTATTTTCCAAAATAGTTAACAAGTGCTCGGCCATATTGTGTTATAGTCGTCAAAAGTTAGCCCTATGCCTAGTATTTGCTACATGTTCCATATCTGAACCAATTTATCAAGGCTTTTGCTATTACCATGTCTATGTGTGGGTGGCACAATGCTTATGTTAAAATTCCATGCACCAATTTATGTGGTTCGTTGACTTAATTTGGTACTAGTGTGGGAAATAACTTATTACGAAATAACTTAATGCCATCCACAGTGCAACGGTCTAAAGGGGTCCTTATGAGATGCTCTTACTAAATGAGACGCTCTTACTAAGAGGGTCTGATCAAAACAAAATAGTACTTTTACAATAACTGTCTTTTTTTTAAACTTTTTTTTTTAAAAAAAGTTTTTTTAGGAATAGGTACTAAAGCATATAGTCTTTCATTTTGTTTTTTAAAAACCAATACTTGAAAATAAAACTAATAAAAATCATAACACGTGTAATATTGGTGGTTTCACAACATTGTTGGGATGCATCCTTCTGTTCCACTTGGCTCCGGCTTCCATCATTTTCTTGCCTCCCGCTTCAGTACTTCTGCCTTTGAAACTTTGAACGTTCTTTGGTACTTTTATCTTCAACAGCCTTCCTCTTGGGCTGTGAAATTTAAATGCAAGCGTATGCACCATAAATAAACTTTATTTAAGTAATCGTGCAATAGGAACGACAAACACTTATAATGTAACACTTACTTGGTGTTTGGCCCCAACTAGATTTTTGCCCTTAAGACATACAAGAGGAACTAAGTCGGTTAGAGATTTCAACTTTGGCGCCTGAGAGTCAAATAGCAGAAAAAATGAGGGCTCCAATGCACGTGCATATACGGTGGTTGATAAGCTAATATGTTTATGCTTACCCCAATATTAACAAGTACGACCATATACAGTAGGTGATAAGCGTTTAAGCGGTATTACCTTGGATGCAATATGCGAGGTCTGTAGCTTGTTCCTTGTGCAGTCAAATGTATTCGTGCAACGCTGTAGTGTCTTTCCAGCTGGAGCATGTGCCTTTGTGTTGGTGCTTATTCGATGCCCATCATTGGCTATATTTGCCGTGTCCTTACCCTTTTTCTTACTCCCACTCCCTTCACCTTTCTTTGATTCATTTATCCCCCAGTCTTGGTTTTGTTCTTGCTACAAGTAGGGTTTGGATTCATGGTTTACTGTCTCTAGTTGAAAGTTTCTTCGGTTTCTTGAACCGCATTTCCGCAAGAGTCTTATTTCTTGAACCCTTAGGCCGTCCACGTGGTTTTATAATCAACAAAGGATCTTTGACGACCAAATCACAGCTCCTAGGACACGAAATAGATGCACCAATGGTCTCCTCGTGTGCAGTTGAAAATTCATTTCCTTTTTCTGGAACATCCGAATCAGATTCATTCGCATCGTCCGGGAAAGACAAGTCAACACTTTCCTCCAACTTCTGACGCTTGCAGTCGTCAAATTTCACCCTAATCTCAAATATAGCTGTTGATACCAATCGCACGGCCTCCTCGTTCACCATAGCTGCTGCATCACACAACGCTTCAAACTCAGCCATTAGCCTATTGTACCTTTGCACCTCCACGTTGTTACTTGGGTCATGGTGCAGTACACGTACACGAGTGTATTTTCTTAAGATATCCTTACGCCAACGACTAACAATATATTGCTCCGGTACATCTAACACACGATTCTGATCTAGAATTCTCATCATATGCTTACACATAATGGCATGTGTTACAAATTTCCGGCAATCACATAACACCTCCTTTGTTTCCTTGTTGAAAGTGGCATGGATATCGCGTCTTGTATTAGTAATCACTTCCTCACTTTGTCCCTCAGGCAAAATCCAGACTCTATCTTCAACGACGTATTCAGTTATATTTTCAGTTAACGACTTCTCTTCCTTACAATAGCAGTACATCATTCTAGAACATTCTGCTTGTACCTCTTGAAACTTGGTGTTAGTATATAACTTTTGGAACACCCTCTCAACAGCGAACCCAGTCACTAGCCTCCTTACATATTTCGCATAGTTAGCGTCTGCGGCTGTCTCATCACGTATGCGTTTCTCCAAAGCCTTAGCATACTTCTGTGGAAATTCAAACAACTTCGTATTTCGATTCACAAAGCCATCGAAAAAGCTATTAATGCTCTCAACCCGTTGTGTGGTTTTCATACCAGCCCAAAAGTAATCTCTCATATAAGCTGGAACCCACATATGCCGCTCCTTAAATAGGCTACCCAACCAATCATTATACTCCAGTTGATATTCAGTGATAAGTGCACTCCAGCGACTCTCAAACTCCTGAACTGTCAAACTCTCATATACCACGGCCTTTAACACACCCTTGAAATCTTTGTACCTTCAAATGAATACGTAACAAACGCAATGAACAACACCTCATATAATATAAACACCATTACACACAATAAGATTTATGTAAAATAATTACTAACCTTTCACATTTTCCAAGTTTTCTGGAATCTTCCGCATTATGTGCCAAATGCACCAGCGATGTAGAGTTTGAGGCATGACCTCCTTGATGGGCTTCCTCATGGCTACGGCCTGGTCTGTAAGAATGGCTTTAGGAGCCCGGTTATTCATGCATGTCAACAATTCCTGGAAAATCCATTTGAAGGTATCACAATTCTCGTGTGACACCAAGGCACACCCTAACAAAATTGATTGGCCATGGTGGTTAACCCCAACAAAGTTAACAAAAGGTAGTTCATACTCATTTGTCAAATACGTGGCATCAAAGCATACGACGTCACCAAATTCCTCATAGGCTGCACGGCTACGGGCATCGACCCAAATAACATCTTTCAGCCTTCCCTGTTCATCTAGGCGTTGGGCATGATAAAAATTGGGATTAGCTCCTTGCATTTTTTTAAAATAGGACATCATTGCAGCTGAATCGCCTCTAACAATTTTTAACCTTCATTCCTTGTAAACCACGTGTGACAAATCTTTCATAGTTAACTGCACTTTAGGTTGCCGACCTTGTATTTCTATAGACAAACAACCGTGTATTTGTGAAACATGAACACCTTCATCAAAGAATTTGAGCAACTTCCTCCTGGCTCCTGTAGTTAACCCCTTCATTCGATACTCTTTAACAAGGTTGGCCTTACTAGGTGTTGGTGTGTGATTAGCGTGCTCCAACTCTACTCCCTTCACCACCCATTCCCCCTGGCGATTGACACTTGCATACAACTTCGCCATACACTCACATTTTTTGGACTTCCGCTTACGTTACTCAATTCATCAGCACAAACAATGCCATCGACTACACCCCCTGTACCCGATACATCCATAACCCTGGCCCTCTTTCTTGCTTCCCTCAACGCCCTCATGTCCGGTCATCCCTAGCACTCACACCTCCAAGTAGTCGAAATACAATCTCTTACCGCACCTTTTGAATACACACCTTGTGCTCTTGTGACTCCGAAGCCCTGCTGCTGGGAATATTCTTTGTAGTAGGCCTCAACATCTTGCCACGTCTTAAAAACCATTCCCGCCTTAGGAGGTTCTATAGAGGAAGCACCACTCTACTGATTACTAGCAACGATTGTGCCTACAGTATCTATTGTGTTAATTGGGGATTGGAATTGCACCCCATTATTAACATCAACACAGCCCTGGTTAAAGGGTGAGTTATGACCATCGCCAATCCTAGAATCAATCTGACCTTGACCACCACCAATAGCAGAATTCTTATTATACTACCAGATTTTCCAGAGTTAACACCGTTGTACTCAGCTTCACTCACAATGGCCTGTAAATCCATATTTTCAGTTCGAACTTCATCTCCCGCTAATGCATTAACTACTTGAGATAAATTAAAACATTGTGTCACTACATTGTAGCAGTTTAATTAACTATGTATTCGTTATACAAATACAACTGTACACGCTTTTTTTAACCCTAAAGAAGTGTCCTTTTACTTTCAAACACTTAAGCTTAAACCTCACAAGATCAAAAACATCCACGATCCAAACTTACTCATATCACTTATTAAATAAAAACTACTCAAACAAAAAATAACGCATAGCTGTTATTAATTACAGGTAACAACATAAACATACACATATTACCTGGCTTCCTAAGCTTATACCTAATATGTGATGTAATTTTAAAATTCATTTAGATTTAAACAACAAGATGGCATAATTGTAAATCAACGATATCTTGAGTTTTAAGCGATACACGTAAACATGTAGACTCCGAACTTGCTGAACTTATGAAAATTAGTCGAATTCTTAATATAACCAATTAGTCGAATTAACACAGCGTTTTTATTACCATAAATATTCATGACATATGTTTAAACATTATAAGCAATTGTTAACTAGTAAGAGTGTTATGCATAATGACAGAATTTTACATTGCTTAAACAACCGCAATTATATCTATAATTCCCCCTACTTACAAAATTATAATTCTATTTAGATAGATTACCACAATATAATAACTCCATTACATATCCTACTTCATAAGTCGTATTGGTATACACAATATTAAACACATCACTAATTAATGTACTTGGATATTACACAAATAGAATTTTAACAAAACATGATTCTAATATGTGCTAAACAGGATAATGTACCTACAAATTAAACACATACCATAAAGACGGATCAATACACTATACACAGCCTTCCATTCAACAACAACGGATCCCGATCTTTGATTCAGTCAAAACTACAAATGTACGCTAATGAAGCTAAGAATTTGGACTTTTTTTTTAAAATTTTTTTTTACCTTTGTTTATTTGGAAAGTTTAAATGATTTTTTTTTGTTTAAAAACTGATTTTTTCAAACTTAGGAGAACATGAATTTCGAATGCACACAAAACTTGTTACTCAAGAAAAGCTTTATGTAGCTAAAAAATTCAGGATTTCTAAACCTACCAACCACAAAAGTAATTACCGAATTCAATTTCCAGCTTTTCCATGAAGATACAAAATCTACGCCGTCTTCAAATATGAATTGCGACGTTAACACATTTGCCCTACCGTGAGCACAATCATCAACTAATTCATTAAATAATAATGACGCGCGCTAAGTTGGTTTACTGAGTCATCACATCCTAATGATGAGGGCTGACTTGGCAAAAATGATTGACAAACTAAAGCAATCACAAAGATCAACTGGGCAGCCCTGATATATATATATATATGTATATATAATAAATAAATATATATATATATATATATATATATATAATATATATATAAATATAAATATATATATATATATAATATAAATATATATATATATATTAATATATAATATATATATTAATATATATATATATATTATATATATATAATATAAATATAAATATATATATATATTAATATATATTATATATATATATTTATATTATATATATATATATATATATATATATATATATATATATATATCGTGTCCTTCTTCTCATGTTGCCCCTACCGTGTCATGAGATTCATGACTCCAACAAATTAAAAGAGGATAGAGGGATCTTCATCAATTCAAAATATATTGGTTGCTCCTTCACGACTTATGTTTAATGTGACTGACCAGCTGAGTGTATATAAGACCAATATTCTTTCACAAGTTGGCCAAATAACGAACCTTCCTGTTTCATCTGCTTCATTGGTTTATCATACTCCACTAAATTTCCTGCAACAGAATCAAGATATCTTTTTAGATTCTGATCTCATCTTGGTAAACAGAACATAATTTATGGTTTCTTCTGTATTTTGTAACTTATGTTTCAGATGAATTCTTAGATTCAGCATTGTTAAATCACATTACAGTGAGATTTCCTTATTAAAATGGAAGTTGTCTCTAAATTTATTTTTGGTTTACTTAACTATGTTGAAAATTCTTGTGAGCTTAATCTTCTGAAATTTTGAAAGGAAAGAAAGATTACTGACTGTCACTAATTTTGAAATTGTGTTAGTTGCATTATCAACTGATGCAGTCGCTTCATCAAGCACCAGGACCCTACTTCTGCTCAGCAAAGCATGCCCTAGACAGAACAATTGTCGTTACCCCATGCTCCAAGTCCCTCTTTTTATTTGATTACTAGAAAGCATATTACTCTAAATTCGCAGTGGGATTTTTTGGCGTCCTATTTGCCATACAGTCACTCAAGGCATTTGGATCTACTGACTTTGTCTCATGGCTTATGTAATGGAACTTGGTGATTTTTTAGTAGGATTGTTTATCTATTTTGCACTTGTATGGTTTTATTTTGGAGCTGCAATCTATGCTCCTTTGAACTCTTTGTGACAATTTGATTTAGTAATTAGATTTCCCTTTTCCCTAAAAAAAATAGCTATTAGTTGATTGTATATTAATTGTATACTATATTTGTATAAATAAAATATAAATATCTCTCTTTATTAATTGATAAAATAGCGTGCAAAGAATCCAGCTTTTGCTGGATTTTTTAAAATTAGATCACACACTTTTGTAACGGGCAGGTTTTAGGCCCGTTACAAATAAGTAAATATTCGTAACGGGAAAAACATGTTCCGTTACGAATAACGGGGTTATTCGTACCGTTATTCGTAACAGACATTTGGATGCCCGTTACAAAAAACCACATTACATTTCAAATGTCCGTTACTAATAACCCCGTTATTCGTAATGGACACTTGTTTGCCCGTTAAGAATAACAACTTATTTGTAACGGGCAAGTGCTCGTTACAAATAACATTTGCTATCCGTAACGACGGCATACGTAACGGCCGTTGCCCGTTAGGGATGAGCTGTTTTTGCCCGTTACGGATAGGCTTTTTTCCGCTAGTGAAAACTCCCAAAATCAGAAAAATTGAGTAATTTCAATTCCATCCCGTAAAATATATAATTTTAATTTGATAAGATTTTATACATAATATAGTTTCATAGTCATAATAATACTAAACCAAACTCAAATTGTCACATAACACTTTATTATTTTAGTTAAGAAAGGGAAAGAGAATGCCAGTAAGCTGGAACTAGTTCCTGTTACCACCTACTTTACAGAGGGTAACGCGTAACCCCAAATGGCTATAAATAAAACAGAATCTCCCTAGTGTGCACACCCCTCACTAATATCTATTGATTAGGAGGAAAACTAAACAACAATATACATTAATTTAAACCAACTAGTAGCAACCATAACTACTAGTGGGCAACTTGTCCTTCATCCTTTCAGGTTTCATTTCCCTTCTTAATTTCAATGTACATTTTAATAGATTAAATTGACCGATCACATTGCACAAAAGTATTGAACAAATCAATATAATCCCAAGTAGCAATATTTTAATTTTAGTATTATTATAACATAGTCAATCTACATGACATACCAATTACGACGCGTTTCCCAATAGACCTTGTAACCACCAATTACATATTATTAATCATCTAATTCCCAAGATTTTAATTACTTTAAAAACTCATGTGATACCAACTTATCAAATGTTTTTGAAAATACTTATACTAGTACACAAAATATAGAAAACTAATTTAACATTTAATACCATAATATCATACAGTAACACACCCGTCACATATAATTACATAAGCACATAATTGGTACACAATAATTCAAAACACTTTCTTAACGGGATTCTAAAGATGAAGGACATTGAAAATTACCTTGATCGTGCGTAAAAGCTCCAAGTAATTAACCTCCGAAACATTTACCTAGCAGCCTCCTCCGTCTACAAATAAACGAGTCCAAGATAGTTTTATTATACTAATAGAATTAGTTAGGTAACATCATTATACTTGATGCCTATTACTAATGCACCATTATGTAGAAGAAAGAAAGTAAATATACTTTTTTTTTATATAAAAAGATATCTTCCAACTCTTTCTAACTTTGTAAAATAGTTACTCGT